TCTATTTGGGCCTTTGACTGATTAGATGAGGCCCACCCATAGACAATCTGCTTACTCAGAGTCCGCTGATTACGGGCTAGCCCTCACAGCACAGGTCAAGGAATTGGGATCCCACGTGGCTGACCACAAGTTGAATCCTGGCCTGATGGCCTGAAAAGCACACAAGGCGTGTGTGTGTGTGTGTGTGTGTGTGTGTGTGTGTCCTAAATCCCAAGGAGATGGCGAAATGGAGAAGGGATTGCGAAGTGACTATGCCCCATGCAGGAGGATAGTTTCCCTTTCTTTCTTTCTCTCGGTGCCTCTCTGGCAAGTGCAGGTTGCTCCCCAACTATGAAAATAAAAAGTCCACTGATTTAAATGTTAATCTCTTCCAAAAATACCCTCAGAGAGACAGCCAGAATAGTGTTTGACCAAGTATCTGGGCGTCACGATGCAGTCAGTGTGGCACTCGGACCATCACACTCAACAAAGCGAGGTAGGTTTCAGACTCCAGGGGTGTGTGGAAGGCGCTGCTGACCAGGTTCTGGATTTCTTACCCATCCCTTACTCAACGGGATCACAGGTAGCACCTCCAGGGAGGTGGGGAGTGGAAGCAGCTCATGCAGTGCCCACGCAGAGATCCAGCCATAACAGCATACAAAACTGGGATGAGGTGTCCCACTCCAGCGTTTGTCAGTGAGCGGCCATAGGCAGGAGAGGAAGAAGTTTTCTCTCTGACGATCCACTGCTCTGGGCAAAGAAATCTTTGAAGTAATACATGAGAGTAAACCCTACCAGAGGACACATTCCTTCTCAAATGAACACTGAAGGTAGCCATTCTGCAGGCCGTTAACTCCACTAATTACAACAGTGATTCAAGAGATGAGCGTTCACTAACGTTTGTGTAAGGCTCTAAGGCTCCCTGCAGCGGGACAGGCATCACCCTGCTTCCTTGTGCCTCATCCCAAGCTCGGAGAAAGGAGGTAGGAAACAGATACCCTTTATTTGCTCAACACTTGCTGTATGCCCGGCATTTTCCATGGGGTACCTCATTTGATCTCCACAACAATCCTTCGAGGTAGGAAGTATTTTTACAGTTTCCAGGGATAGGAAACTGAGGTTCCGAGAGAGGAATGGGGTGTCCGAGATCAAATCACGAATAAATGGCAGGCTCAGCATTAGCGTCGTCTGGCTCTTCGCGTGCTTTCTCCTGCAGTAGCACTCCTCTTTTTTGGGGAGGGAGGTACTTGTTTATTAGTAACATTTTCCTGTAGGTTAACCAGAAACCCTTGTACAGGGCCCTTTCTTACGTCTGACTGCCCCACCCTTGTTTATATCTGTGTGACTCTGGGCAACTCGCTAGTCCCCTTTCCTCCTGTGATTCTTGAACTGCGAGTTGGAAAAGTTGGGCCAGATAAGCACCTACTCTGCTTAGCAGTGGGATACTGTCGCCCTCCAAGCCCAGTTCCATGTAAGTTCCTAATGTTGGAAACGGATAAAGTGGAAATTAAGTTTTTTCTTTTACGTGATTTATAAAGTAATTGCTCTAGGGGTGTGTGTGCTCACCAGAGAGAGAGAGAGGACTTTGAAGGGGGTTGGCCATGCTTCAGTCTCTTCTCCTCTCTTCTCCTTGGGTTTTTGGGCATGTACACGCAGTATGTTTTTCAAACCGTGGGGTCCAGGACTTGAATAGCACAGTCGGTCACAAGGGATCCAGCCACCTTAACCACCACACTACCTGGCTGGCCCTCGCAACCTTTTCTTACCAGATAGTTTAGGGGAAAAAAAATGGCAAGAACTTCAAATAAATAAGGCAGTAACTTCTCGGTGCTTCCTTTGTCAGCTGTCTGGCCCCTAGAGCTCTCTCCAGCGTAGAGGATGTGATGCCTAACGAGGTCCCTAAATACTACCGGAGGGCAGAGGCTAGCCTGAGCCTTAGCATCTCCACAGCACCCAGCAGAGATCTGGGGAGGCTTGGTGAGGCAGCCCCAGCAGTGGCTGAAGGATGAGCTTCGGCACCCGGACCTCACTGGTACATACCCAGGCTGTGCTGTCACTAGCGGCATGACCCTGTACAAAACACCTGTGCCTCAGTTTCCTTATCTGCGACATGGAGGTGGTGATCATAATAGTAGCTACCTTGGGATTGCAGTTTGTGAAGTGAATGAGCTAATCCCTAGACACATGTTAAAATAGTGTGTGGTACAGGTAATCACTCAATAAATGTTAGCTCCTTCTGTGTCTAGGGACTTCAGTTTCGCAGAGCCTTATTTTTCTGTAGCCTGAGTTCTTCTCGGCACAGGGGCCTCTATGATACATAGACAGACCCTCTGGACCTTCATCAGATGCAATTTCATAGTGATTACTTCAAAGCAGTTTCCACCCGTGATTCCAGATGACCATAACTATACGAGTTGGTGTTTAAATTTTTTTTGATTGAATGTAAGCAGAATTTTTAGAGTAGAGTACAGAGAACAGCAGAAACTTGCCCAAGGTCACCAGGGGAAATAGCAGGACAACCCAGACTCTCTGACAAAGAATTTAGCATGTTTCCCCTTTCTGGGTTGATTCCCTCTCCTTGTTATAGAGGTTCGGTCCCCTAACAATTCTTCCTCAAGGACCTTCGTCCTCTATCCCCCTCCACACTTTCTCTCCTTGCCTGGGCTGTCTCTAATTTCGGTAAGCTTGAAATTCTCTGGTCATACAGAAAGCATTTTATCTGACCTTCGCCATGCAAATTCTTTCCATTGGGATTTCTGTGTCCGGCTCCACCCCAGCCCACATGGCCATAAACACTCATGTGTCTGCAGCCCAGCCCCAGGGATTCCAGAAATAACAGCAGGGCCCTCCATTAGGACATCGGAACACGGTGAGGCGTTTCTGCAGTAAGACAGGAGCCCTTTCCAACTGAGACCTCTCCGGTCTGTCAAAGCACAAAGCAACCTTTACAAGTCAGGACAGGGAGGGGCATCTTGGAGGGAGTCTAAATTTCTGAAAAGTCCGAACCTTCTCCTCCCATCTGTCTGCACTCTCAGCCCTTCCATTCTAGAGATTCTCCAGATCTGCTCCACTCTCCACTTGGAATTTAAAATCCTTTCTTGCCTATGCCATTCTTTGCCTTTCTGAGTTCTATTCACCCTCGGACATACAGAATGGGAATCATGGCGGTGTAAGTCCAGGTGGCAATTTTCATTTGAAGATAGCACAAAGGCCCCTTACCCTGCAGGAAGGACAGTCACCTTGCTGGGGGACTGGGAAGTGCCAGGAGAAGGGCGTGTCTTGGAAGGAAAGGAAAATAGGAAATAGATGACTCTGATTGGGAGCATCCTGAATACAAGGTGATGGTTCTTACTTCAGAAGGGTATTTAACATGAGGAGAAAAACCAGAAATCAACATCCAGGGGGAGAAATTTACCTTTACGAATGTGCTCTCAAAAATAATACCAGAAATATGGGGCCGGCAGGGGGCGCGGTGGTTAAAGGCACTGAACTCCCACATGACCGACCATGGTTCAAGTCCCGGACCTGGTGGCTTGCTTTCTCACTTTCCCTCTCTCTCTTTCTCTGTCTCTCTCTGATCGAACTGGAAAATAATAATAATAATAAATAAAAGTTAAAAAATCAGAAAATAAAAAGTATGTACACATAAAACAAGATGTGAAAAAACATGTGTTTAGATACATAACCTGGAGAGGCTGGAAAGAAATATGAAAATTACTTTCTTTCTTGGAGGAGTTGGGGTTAGTGATGGTTTCAGGTGACAGTTATGGTTATTTTTCTCCAACTGGTGCTTAATGTCATTTCTTTTTTTTAAAGAAGATCACAATATGCCACAGAGAATTTGCCTGATCTTCTGGGATCCACCTTTCTACAGGGGAATTATTGGTTTCAAGTGCCTGTCTAAAAATTAGAATTTATCATGCAAAAGCCATACTTAAGCCACTTTCTCCAGGAACTAATTCCTCTTTAATGAGGATGGGATTATTTCTAATTTGCAGCTCTAATCGCAGCGTCATTTAAGACTGGGTTTAGCGTCTTGAGCTCCAAACCTTTGTCACCAATAAGAAGGTGGAGGAAAGACAGGCGCTTGTGCAACAAAACGGCCGATTATGTCACCCTCCGAAGTCCAGCAGCCTGGCGGCCTCCCCGAGCTGCAGCTGCAGGAGCCTACAGATGCAATGCACCATCGCAGGGGTTGGCGCCAGCGGCGGGAGCCCCCGCCACTGCCACGGAGGTCGTGCTTGCCCCTGGGTCTGGTGCCGCACCCAGAAGTGCCGGGGCGGCGGGGAGGATGAGGGGAGTTGGTAACGGCATCGCCATGGCAACAGTGACGTCCTTTTACCCTGGATCTAATTGGAGGAAACCCCGTGGCCGAAGCCGCAGCCTGCCGGCCAACCGAACTTCCCCAGGCCCTCCCACCCTCCGAGCCTCCCTTCCCTGCCGCCCCGCCCTCTCGCCCCCTTCCGCGCGCTCAGCCTTCATTGGCCAGAAGCGGGATGGGAGGCGGGACTCTAGAGGGGGGCTCGGCGCGTCATTGGGCGGCGGCCCGCCCTCGGCTCCGGGGGAGGCTGAGAAGGGGGGGGCC